TACATGAGAGCACAATCACATTGAGGGACTGTGATAAGAGTAATAACATTTTGACTACTTCGCCCCCCCCCCGTTGCAAAGAGACTCATCTGTGTTTACTTTGTAATGGATTCCATTGTAATCAATAACATAAACAACATACTAATGGCGTTTATTTTACTTCACATTTTATGTAGACATCTACAAAATGAGGTGGTTAAGCTTGCACAATACTGGCAAATTCATATCTCAATGTTTTAGATAATTTGAAACGAATTTCTCTGCAAAAGTAAATGGCATGATGTCAAATTGACGCATAAGTTTATTTATGCCTTTCCTGAACATTCATACTGCTATCCGCGTCTGAAAAAATGGAAAATTCCATTTGACGAGGCTGATCTGAGGACGTAGCCAGAACGAAGTACTGTTTTTATACTGTGCGCTGTTTATATTGTTTGGGACTTAGAAGTATTGGTCGATTCTTTTGAACCACTCTCGCACCAGAAAAAATATACATCTTACAATTAAATGTTGTGATATTCCATTTATGCCTATTGATGAGGTCACATGACCATATATGAACATGTGGTAGGTTAGTCATATCTCTTGTCAAATGCCTTTGTTATAGCACTGGTTGAATGTCATCAGCAGCATTGCTTGATGCATTGCTGGTCAAGTGACCATATATGGGCATTTGATGTGTTAGTCAAATGCCTTCAATATATCACTAGTTGCATGTCCTTATCTGCAACAGTGCTTGAGATATTACACTTATGCTTATGAGGTCACATGAACCCATTTATATAAGGTGGGATATTAATGGGGATTTCAACCCTGAAGTAATCAGATTTGTGGATATCCAAAAGCACCTAATAAGTTTCAATGAAATTTGATGAGTGGTACTCAAGATATCTGTGAAACACCTATAAATTGGTTAATTTATGCAAATTGGGTGATTAGTAAGCATGGATTTCAACTAAAAGCTAATCAGATCTGAGTATATACCAGAGCATCTATGTACCAAGTGTCATTGAAATGAGATATCAGTAGAACAGACACATACACACACAAGCATACATACATACATTCACAGAGACGCCCAAACCACAAAGACTCCAATTGTGTACTTTGCCCACAGAAGTAAAAAATGCACCAACACAACCTTGTGTTTTTACTCCATAAGAAACAACTAACAATAACAAATATGACACACTATTAACATGTAATTAATCAAATAATATTTATTAAAGTAAATATGTTAAAATCAATAAGCAGAAAATTCTGAATGTTGTTACAATATCAGTGTGTGAACAGCAGTCATTTTTGTTGTAAATAGTTAATGACATTTAATATAGTTTTTGTTACTATACACTTTTATGGCATTTTTCAAACCAATTCTGTCACACTGTGTGCTGGTTTGAAGTCTTTGTTTTCTTCCAATCGATTGTTCAACAACATTGCTAGTTCTTAAGTTTCTGGAAGTTATACTCGGCAGTGTCAACTGTAAATGTTCAACCTTTGTAGAGTTGGTAAATAGTTGGAATGATTTTCTGCTGTTATCCACATTATTTGATGTCAGGGGACATAGCCTGGGCAATTTTAGCTGTGTTGAGTCTGTTTTCTTGTTCTTACTGTAGAGTGGTTCATTTTTAAGAATACGTTCTGTTGTTGAATAGATACTACATAACAGTTGTATATTTTTGGATTTTCTGGATCTTGATGAACGTTTACATCCTTTATGTCCTTTTACATTAAAGTCATCTTTTGTTTCACAAACTTTTGGTGATAATCTTTTATGTTGGTTCCTGCTACAAGATGTCTTTGAATTCATGGTAACAGCAGCACTATGTTGATCAGACTGACCTGTGGTGTTTACATGGACAATTGGTAATGATGTATTGGAATAACATGCTAAAGATTCAAGTGGTGTTAAATTCTTCTTTGCTGTGCAATTCCCAGTTGCTCCATTAAATTTGTTTGCTTTAGTTGAAGACTTCTTTCTAGGACTTGAAGTTAATCCAGTCCTAATCTTTCCATGTACTTGTTCAGCAACAATACATGGTAAAGTTGTCTGTAGTGTTGTCTCAACGGCTTTTGAAGTGTTCTCGCTGGCAATGTATCTCAATCGCTGTGACATATTAATCACTGAACATTTAGGACTTGCTGGAGGAGATGGTGAAAATGAAGTGGTGCTTGAATAAGCTTTGATTGGAGACGGAACTGATGGTGGCACAGGTGACAATGAAGAGCGTTGCTTAGATATTACACAATCTGAAGGAGTGAAGGGTGGAGTGTGAATATCTTCTTTAAGAATATTCTTATTTGGTGATGAAGGTGGTTTTCAACAAGTCCATGAAGGTATTATCTCATCAGTGTCATCATCTTCAGTATCAGATGAACTGTCCCAATCAAATAAGAAGGACCTTACAGTGTCTGATATAACTTGCTGCACTTCAGGAGAAAATGGGGATACATATGCTTGTGTTGGTTGCGCTTGACTAGTTTTCTCCTGGTTTGAATCGGTAGTAGGCGAAGATGGAGTGTCGTTCACATCAAAACATGACACATCTGAACAACCAATCCTGTTCTCATTATCACCATCACCATTATTTACCTTACGATCACACAGGAAAGCTGTGAAGACAAAATTACAAAATTAATATGATTAGTTTGCTCAGAAATTTGTCTGAAATGTAGTTGAATTTTTACAAATGGGCCAAGTTGAAAATGTAAGACTGGCAAATCCAGGCAAATTTGGCAAGTGCTCCTGTTTGTTTAGTTTTTTGATTTATTTGTTACTTAGACTAACATCTAAAAAACCAAATTTAATACAGATTTTGTGTTATGCTGTTAAAATATACAAAGAGGGCGCCTTAGTTTTATATTGTGACCAGAGGACAGGAAAGCTATAGTTACAGTTTCTTACTAAAGATGCCAGTCTCTCCGAATAAAAAATAAAGTCCATACAAAACACCCAAAAAGTGTTTTCACCGAAAATTAATTCCAGCTGAAATGAAGAATTTTACAGTATGACGATTGGTGATCTGGGAAGATATTCAAATGTTGTGAACGTCCGAAACGAGTTAAATGTGCGAACGAGTTTACTTTTGTGGGATAAGTTTTTAAGGTTTAATATGATTATGAGTGCATATTAAAATGCACTCCAAATGTTTTCCTCCGAAAACAAATTACATTACTCAGTCAGCTGTGTTTAATCACATAAACTTGATGTTACGTTTTTCACGTAACTTTAGCTGTAGGGGGACTTTTCGTCCACCGAGCCTCGCTTGTCTTTGGGTAAAACGGCACAGTTTAAACTACAAGTTGACACTGACAGTGATAGTACAAGAACAACTGGTAAACAATGAACATACCTGAGTCTGAGGCAGAACACACCATTGTGCAGTTTTTATAAGAATTATGAACACCAATATGAAGAGTATTTGTAAAACGTGTCTTGTATCGACGACGGAGAACTTGTATAATGACCACTACAGTGGAACACATTTTCATTATTGCGTCGTCTGGCATGGCAACCGCAGACGACATCTTCAACCTCGTTCAGTACTTAGGAAGTTACTATTTACTGCATTTCAAGTATATACTTGTACGATTTAATTATTTGTCATAATCACTTTAATATTACATTATTTAGTAATTAAAAGTATTTAAAAGTTGTCAAAATATAAATAACTACTGTAATATTTGTTCATATATTAAATATTAG